CCTTGTCTCGGTCTCGCGGTGGATAGCCCACCAGTTCATAGCAATTCTCTCGCAGATGGCCAGTCTTTTGACAATGGGTGCAGCGGATCCTCTCGCGCTCCCCCGCACTTCGCGTCGTCCTGTCCATCTCTCCTTGAGTATTAAAAGCTGCAGCTTCTGGGGACAATCGACGTTGCTGGGTGATGGCCTTCTGCTGCTCTTCATTTATAGCTATGTTGAAAACCTCAGATAAAGGTGGTGTTGGTCGCATAGCTAATACCTGAGTCCTTACCGCAGCAAACGCGTCGTCTAGGCTCATGAGGAAGTCAAAGAGACGAGAGTGGTCCTGCTGTTCTCGCACTCTCCGAGAAACTCCACACGTGCATAATCCGCACGTACAAACAGGTGTGGGAGAGATCGCTGAAGCCTCCTCCCAATATGCTCGAAGTTTCGTGTAGAACGCCGAGACCGAGTGTTTTTCTTGTTGCAGCATGCTAATGAGACGTCGGAGCTCATATGCCCTAGATGAACTCCCTTGACCAAAACGAGCATGGAGATCCGCCCAGATATCGCGAGCTGTTTCCGCGAACCTTATGCTGCTCCGTATTTCTTTGTCCATTGCGGTTTTCAACCAACCCTTCACCATTGCATCACAACGGATCCAAGCCTCTCATTCCGGTGGGTTTGCTTAGGGTTCCATCGACAAACCAAAATTTATTTTTAGCGATGAGGGCATCTTTCATATCAAGTACCCACTCACCGTAATTCAAAGCTGACAGTACGTCGCCAACGAGCATCTGCCCCGGGCCGTCCGAGTTGCTGAGCTGATACACGAACGGGAGATCGGGTTCTTTGTTGCCGCCGATGGTGAGTGACTTCTCTCCACTTGATCCATCGTCATTAAGAGACATGATGGACTACGAACAGGATAGCTGGAACTCACAGCTCTGATACAATGTAATAAACCAGTTGCTCCCAATAACTCGAGTTGTTGGGAGAAGGTTATGCTGGATCTTATACCATTCTCTAACACACCCCCCCAAACAAAAGCCAACACATGGGCTTGAAGTTTGCACAGGCCCACCATACCATGTGCTTGAAAGACAACGGTTAATATTGGGGCTCCGATACCATGTAAAAACTAGCAAGAACGATAAAGAAACGACACACAATTTACGTGGTTCTTCCTCACAGTGTGTGAGGCTTACATCCACGGGAAACACTATTGTTCTTTTATTAGGTTGTATGGTCGATGATGGCCTTGTACATGTATTTATACCCTTCTTTATCATAAGCATCTAGGGTACATCGAGAACTAATACATGTAGGAAAAGGACTCCCAACTCGGTTACTTGGAGACCACGTAACTGCATGTGAGCTGGGCTGGGCGGATGGACTCGTCATGCTGCTGTCCTGGCCCAATAAGTAGTAGTGATTTTGATGTTACAATAATGGCTTCACTAGCAGCAGTATTGGTTTAAGTCCACCTGTGGTTTGCCAATGCTACTAAAAGCGAGTAGTAGCGATTTTGTTGTTACAATAGTGGCTTCACTAGCAATCGTAGTGGTTTTCTAATTCTTGTAGTAGTGATTGAGTCCAGTTGTGGTTTGATAATGCTGATAAACTATACTAGTAGTGCACTAGTGTTTTTGTTGTGACAGTAGTAGTTCACTTGGCATTTGAGTACAAAAGGTGGTTCCTAATTTTTTCCCCGTGTTCAATCAGATAGTACTAGTGATTTTTGAACTGGTAGAGATAGTGGGTTAACTAGTTGTGACTCTAGTTTTATGCAATACTGTCATCATAGTCGATAGTGTTTGGTTGTTTTTTGGTTGGAAAACACTACCACAAACTCTTTCAGGTAACTGCTTCTCATAACTTCTTGTTAAATCAATTTAGTAAGAAAACACTATTACTGCCATTGGAATTTCTACACTCAAATTAAGGTTGCACAACAGGTATGAACGGATTAAAGTAGTGTTTTCTGGGGAAAACTCTCCTCTCAAAAGCTGGAATAACAACGGTCTCCGCTGGAAATCCAAACAAATCTTGCCCACTTTCCCAGAATTCAGCATTAAATCCGCATTTCAAATATTTTGCTCCTCTTCCTTTTTCGCCCTTTCTTTTTAAAATCTAGTTATCACGGTACTAACCACTTATAGAGTTAGCACCCTATCCTCTCCCGGTACCAACATGACAAATGATGTCTTTGATGACTAATTAGATGTGAGATCATTGGAGAACAGCTTATGATGTTTAAACAACCCCAAGAATATAACAATTACTGTAAAATAGTTTTTTTTTTGGCATCTCTAGGAATGACAAGGGCATCCAGGGCGGGTATCTCAATACCCATACCCGCCTCGTGGCAGGTCGGGTCCAGGTCGGGTAATTTATCATGGGGCGCGAGTCGGGGCAGGTCGATCCAATGGGTATGTAATTAATACGAAAGATATTAGAAATATTCGTTATTTTCATTGAAAGACTAGAAAGAAACCATTATATGTGGGAGAAATTGAGGTTTTTACTTATTTACAACTTTTTTATATCTAAAATATGATGTGATTAGAGGAAAATCATAAGTAAGTTGACTAAGATTTCATGTAATTTAGGCAGGAACGGGTCAAGAATGGGGCGGGTCGGGACAAGTCGGGTCGATGAGAGGTACCCATACCTAGGGGTGGAAATCGGTACCGTATCGGTATCCCAATACCAAATACCGAAATCCCGAATACCGAATTACACCCTAAAATCAATCCCAAGCACAATCCCTAAATAATTTCGGTATCCCAATCCCAATCCCTAAACAATTTCGGTATCCCAATCGGTACCTCAATATCCCAATCGGTATTATCGAATACATGATTAATTACCTTTGCAATTAATAATTAAATATATAAATTAGATTTTATTTTTTAATTTAGGGCAAAGAGACTAAGCAAATAGTCTTGAGTTGCCTAGAACTAACATCTCAAGTTCTTGTAATTGGTAATCTTTAATTTGACGAATTTGAGGTTGAGAGACGACTAATACTAGTGTGAAATAGTGATGTAATGATCTATGTATAATTAAATGACACTTTTGGTGGTTGAGGGTCACGTAGTATTGAATGGGAGAGTCTAGTTGAGAGGATAAAATATACACTAGCTATTTCGGTATTGATCGGTATTTCGGTATATACCAATCCCAATCTCGTAATCTCTAATACCGAATAACAATCAAAATTCAATCCCAATCCCACAAAATAATACGTGTATTCGGTAATACCAAATATAGACAAATTCGGTAAGGTATTCGGTATATCCCAAATACCGGTACCAAACTTCCAGCCCTACCCATACCCGCCCCGCCCCGCCTACAAAACGGGTCGGACCTGCCCAAAACAGGCCAAATAAATCGGATAAATCGAGTTAGGTCGAAATTGCCACATCTCCCTTCAGCCTCTACCCAATTACTTGGTTGGGCTATGGCCTATGAGTTCATTTCTCAATCACTTTTCTTTGAAGCACCACAAGAGCCTTTTGCAATTGTATGTTGTAGCCCACTATATCTGCAGTCGACAGTTTTTGTTCACACAACGCATGTATTGATTAGAAAGTTAAAAAGGAGAAGAGAAACAAATAGATAGGGGAATCGTATGGCTTCCAAGCTTTCATCATTGAATCGAAAATATTACTCTCCCTCCCACCAAAAGTTGTACACATTTCTTATACCTTTTTACCTTCCCCATACTGCAGAAACAAATTTTCTTTTCTTCTATAGAGTACAAGTCTAGGGGTGGAAATCGGTACGGTATCGGTATCCCGATATCAAATACCGAAATCCCGAAAGTCTAGGGGTGGAAATCGGTACGGTATCGGTATCCCGATACCAAATCCCGAATACCGAATTACACCCTAAAGTCAATTCCAATCCCAATCCCTAAACAATTTCGGTATCCCAATCCCTAAATATTTTTGTCTCCCAATCGATACTTCGGTATCCCAATTGGTATTATCAAATACAAAATTAATTACCTTTTCAATTAATAATAAACATATAAATTAGATTTTATTGTTTAATTTAGGGAGAAAAGACTAAGCAAAGTGTCTTGAATTAAGATATTATTAAGGAGAAAGGAGGAGAGGAGACATCTCAAGTTCTTGTCATTGGTACTCGTTAATTTGACAAATTGGAGGTTGAGAGACTACTATTAATAGTGATAGAATGATCTATGTATAATTAAATGACACTCTTGGTAGTTTAGGGTCGTGTAGTAGTGAATGAGAGAGTCTAGTTGAGAGGATAAAATACACACTAGTTTATATTTCGGTATTGATCGGTATTTCGGTATATACTGATCCCAATCCTGTAATCCATAATACCGAATAACAATTAAAATTTAATCTCAATCCCAAAAAATAATACGTGTATTCGGTAATACCAAATATAGACAAATTCTGTACGGTATTCGGTATATCCCAAATACCGGTACCAAACTTCCAGCCCTAAGTACAACTGGCTGCTCCATATTCTACTTAAGATACAACAAGGAATGAGTGGTGGAGAGTGTCTGGCTTGCCAATTGCAATGACAAAAGTACAACCAAGGAATTTACACCAAAAGCCTGAACATTCTTTTCCATTGATAGATAACCGTTCATTCATCCACTGGAAGAACTCATGATTAGTTACTCTAATGATAGTGATTATGATAGAGGTCACTGGAGATTGGGGTCAGTTTGATAGTAAACAACATCACCTGTGTCACTAACATAATGGTCTTTCTTCATGCTCTTTATCAAGATTCCAATGAGGTGAAATGGGAGTGGCCATGATTTATCAGGTTCCCGGTAGTACTTCCCGAGCACTGGCTTAGCAGCTTCTGTCTGCAGAAAGCAAACAAAGTTCTGTTTAGATAAAGGAACACAGAGCAGACATACCACTCTACCGTAATACTTTGATGTATAAGAAGTTGCGAATTGAGAGAGGTAGGCAAGGCATATAGGGGTAATAAGAATTGCTTACTGCTTCGATCAAGTGGTAGTGTGGGATTTGTGGGAAGAGATGGTGAATGACATGAGTTCTAATATCGTGGTGGATGTTATTGATCCAACCATAGTCTCTATCAATCGTGGTTAATCCTCCCCTCAAGTAACTCCATTCCTTTCCATAAGTAAACCAAGGAAGAAAGCTCAAAACTTTAGTGCTAAAGAAAGGTTAAACGCAAGTCTATTAGATGGCATCTCCTATAACTGTTTTTCTTCAAAGCAAATGACGTTTCATTGGGTTTGAAATTGAATGAATGGACTTTGAATATTTACCTTTCCACGGTACCAAGGAATCTTGTCATCATGACCGTGGTGATTCAAGTAAGTTACAAAATCAAGCCACATAACAAAGGCCTAAAACAAGATCAAGAGCAGAGTGGTCAAGAATCGAGAACAAGTCTTCAATGGAGAAACAATATGCAACAATTACTGCATGTGGAAATTATATAAGAAAATTTGTCTCTACCATGTATGGAACTACCATGCATAGGTCCCATTGCAAATGACAGTCCCACAAGCAACGCAGCCATGGCCGTCCAACAAACGGTTGAAGTGATCACATCTTTCCTCTCTCTAGGCACAAACAGATCACTGTTTGGATCAAAGTGCGAGCCTGACTTTCCAGGGCTTCTAGTCCACTGAGTTTTCCAAGGAAATAAAGAGAGACTTAACCATTTAGCAGCAACAAAATAAGCTCTGACTTTCACTGGTTCTGTAAATATTTGAATTCCCCTTTGTCCTGTAATTAAGGCACTTACCAGATAGAAAGGATATGCAAGCATGGGGAAAGGCAATATGAACCTCATAGTTCGAGTTGCGGCGTCCAATTTCTTGAATGTCTTTTCAGATAATTGCAATATTAATATAACAACAAAGGTTTATACATCTTTTTCTGGCCACCCAGCACAAAATTGACCAGCATCTGATTGAGAAAAGAAGGCTCACAGGATGCCATGATTCGTCATTCTCAGCGTGGCCCTGACTTTGATGGCGAGGTTGTCAACCCGCGGGTTGACCCGGACCCAGTTGAGCTAGTGAGTCAAGGGTTAATGAGTCTACCGCTTTAGCCCGGTTTGGCCCGGAAATATGAAAAAGTCATTATATTGTACTTATCCTAATAAATTATATAAAATCTTATCTAATATATGAGTTATAACATATAATATTACACCAAAATAACATATCGTACTTAGATCCAACATATAATGAAAATTCACACACACTTATATAACATAAATATTCAAATGTTCAACTTAATATTCCAAAGATTGAGTTGGGCGAAAAGAAAAATCGGAAAATAGGCGCATTTCGCAAATCAAAGGCAAAAATGACACAATTTGACCTCCAACCCGATACCTTATAGCGGTCGGCCCGGCGGGTGCGTACGGCCCGTTTTTCTCATCGGATCAGGGTCAAACTGGGTCGACCCGCGGGTCGACCCGCGGGTTGACAACCGAGTCCTATGGCTGATTTTCCTGTAAAATTGGCCCCGGAAAAAAATGTGAATACTTTTAGTACATACTGTTGTAACTCAGAGCACGAGTTGAGGAAAAACAAACAAACAAACAACCAATCAAAATCCGAATTATAAGCAGAAGAGCTTACCATCCATGATAGGGCACTAGAACTCAAGAATGGAGAATATGTCCAACCACACTGTTCATATTATGATTAGGGCTGTCAAAATGGTTTCGGGTTTTCGGTTTAACCCAAACCCGAACCGCCAGTAAGTGTCTGCGGGTTCGGTTTTTCGATTTCAACCCGAGAATGTACATGTCATTTTCGGTTTCATAAACCCGAAACCCGAGAGGGAACCCGAAAAACCCGAGAGGCATCGTCATTCGCCACACTGCCACACATACCCATCGCCAACCCTACCCTGCAGGCTGCAGCGCAGTCAGAGACTCCCCCGTCGCCGGCGAACTCATCCGTTCGTTCAAGATCGAAGATTCCCCCGTCAGGGCTCGACGCCAGCGCATCTGGGTATCGCAACCCTTTTCCTCTTTTCCTTGGCGACCAGATGGTTATGGAGTCTTGTGTATCGACTGGAAATTTGAGTGATTCTTTCTTTATACATGATTGTGGTTGGTGGGTAGCTTTACTTTTAGCTGTCGGTCTGTCGATTTCGGATCTGTGTTCAGTGCTCTGTTTTCGTTTCCCCTGCCTGTTGTTCTGGAAGCAGAGTGTATCGCAACCCTTTTCCTATTTTGGGAATTCAGTTTCAAAAAGGGACATCTCCTTTCTTCTCTACTCATCTTTGTTATCACAGTGGTAGGATGGCCAATTTCTTGTTTCCGCCCAATTTCTTGTTCTGGATAGGTAAGGATTGTAGTGATTGAAGCTCTTATGGATTGAAACATTTTGTTTACGCCCAATTTCTTGTTACTGCAATCATTGTTCATGGTTACTTCATTTTCACTTGCTTAAGTGTTAAGCTCCCATTTGTTGGCTATTTGAGATGATAGACCGCCATGGATGGCGAACTCTGAAGCTAACGAGCATACAACAAGATCCAAATCTGACTATTCTCAAATCACAAAAGTACCCAAAAAAAACCCAACCCAAAACGGTTCGATTTCGGGTTCACCCGAACTGAACCAAAACCGCCATCATAATTTTTGGGTTCCAGTACCCGAAACCCACAAAGTACGGTTTCGGGTTCTGTGGCGCGGGTTCGGGTTTTCGGTTTTTCGCGGGTTTCGGGTTCGGTTACCCGACCCGAACCGACAGGCCTAATTATGATTGCTTGAAAAGCTCCCATGGCCGCTGCAAAAGCGAAATTTGAATTACATCATATCAATCGCAACAAAAGTGAACAAATAGAGATGTCAAATGTCATTCAATTATTATTTGCTTACCGGTCATGGCCAATAACAAAAAGAGCCCAAAACATGAGCCACTGAGTTGCCCAGTACAAGGGCCAAACAACCCAATTGTTGAGATAAGCTGCGGCGGCCGCCAATCCGAAAACCACGGCTACATCCCTGGCTACATAACTCATTGATTTCCATGGATCCTTAACCCAACAGTGCTTCGGTATGGTGGCCCGAATGTCGGCCAAGTTGAAGGGTGGCGGCGCTCCTGGGTCAAAACCTGCCGACGACTCTGTTTCTCGAATCCCATCGTTGAAATTCAATTCTTCTTTTTCTTCCACTGAAGCAACCTGGTACGGCACACTCACTCTCAGCTGCAAGGGCTTCCTCCAACAAGAAGAAGAAGAAGAAGAAGAAGAAAGGGTTGAAGAGAAGCTAGGTAGTTTAAGGTTCACATCTAGGGGTAGAAATCGGTACGGTATCGGTATCCCAATACCAAATACCGAAATCCCGAATACCGAATTACACCCTAAAGTCAATCTCAATCCCAATTCCTAAATAATTTCGGTATCCCAATCTCAATCCCAAAATATTTTGGTATCCCAATCGGTATTATCGAATACGAAATTAATTACATTTGCAATTAATAATTAAATATATAAATTAGATTTTATTGTTTAATTTAGGGAAAAATGACTAAGCAAAGAGTCTTGAATTAAGATATTATTACGGAGAATGGAGGAGGAGAGACATCTCAAGTTCTTGTCATTAGTAATCTTTAATTTGACGAATTGGAGGTTGAGAGACGACTATTAATGAATATTAATAGTGATGGAATGATCTGTGTATAAATAAATGACACTCTTGGTGGTAGAGGGTCATGCAGTAGTGAATGAGAGAGTCTAGTTGATATGATAAAATACACACTAGCTTATATTTCAGTATTGATCGGTATTTCGATATATACCGATCCCAATCTCGTAATCCCTAATACCGAATAACAATTGAACTTCAATCCCAATTCCAATCCCAAGAAATAATACGTGTATTAGATAATACCAAATATAGACAAATTCGGTACGGTATTCGGTATATCCCAAATACCGATACCAAACTTCCAGCCCTATTCACATCTGAGTCGGCAACGATGGGTCGCAGAAATCTCGGCTTAGAGAGGCTGTCTCTGTAGACAGTTCCAATCATGAGCCTGGAGAAGGCTGAAGGTAGAGGCTTTAAGCCACATTCTGATAGAGCCCGGCCTGCCATTGAATAAAGAGAAAAGGACAATTAAATTGGAGGTCACAAGTTAGAATTCTTAAGTAATATCTAATAACAAAAAGTAAATTTATAATATTACTCTTATAATAAAAAATAACAATTGAATTCAATCCCAAAGACAGCCCCCGTTAATTTTTTTTATATATAATTAGGACTGTTTGATTTTCCTTTCCCTGTCCCTCACTGGGATGCAAGAAAAGAAGAAGGATGAGATCAAGGGAGCTTGATTTTCAGTGGTTGGCGGGGAGTTTGGGTCATTGGGTGCAACGGAAGGCCCCAAATATATAGAGAAGCGAGGTGGTGTGTGAAAAAAACTATTTGTTCTGTTCTGTTCTCTTATTTTTAATTTAATTCAACTTAAATAGAGAGGCGAGGAGGTGCATGGAAATCAATCTAAAATAGTGTATTGTACCACTAGCCTACTAACATAGAAAATCATAAGATCCAGAACCACGCCCTAGATTCGACCTTAGATCCCGGCCAACCACAATCCACATTCAAATAAAAGAAAAGCCAATTCCGCAGCCGGCACAAGCATCATCGTGTCGCCGGCTGCCTTCTTCCTCTCTCGATGCAATCTGTTCTTTCTTGTATGTTAACCAACTAACTACTTGATCCCAATAACTCGAGTGGTTGGGAAAGATATAATTAAACCTTTTAATCTCTTATATCGTAACCTTCCAGCCAGGGGCGGACCCAATGGGCTTTCAGGACACCCCTAAATTTTGGAAAAACGATTATTCAACCCCTGGTGCTAATTTATGTATGGACAAAAAAAATTATAATTGATAGTGAGAGACAACCCTGAAATTTGAAAAAAGGATTATCCTACCGTCATTTTTTTAATTTGTGTAAGGGAATATAAGTGGTAGGTTGGGTAATTCAAATCTAAAACACTATTATTATTAATAAACTTAATTTCCATTAAACTACAACTCATTTGTTGTTCGATTTTGAACACTATGCAATAGTAAGATGTCATTCTCTATCTCTAATTATTTTCAAAACCTAACAATTAAACTAATTTCAAGCTACACTTAACTTTTATTGATTTTATGGTTGTACGGCAAGTGCTGAAAGAGTCTTTCAGTTTTGGGTTAAATCAAGAACAAGTTTACAAATCGAATATGCGATAAGTTCGTGAATGGTTGTCTAGTAGGGTATATAAAGACAATTGTTTTTAACACTGTAGACATCAAGTGTATTCTTCAATTATTTTTTAATATAAAAACACATCATGGAATTTTTTAACCTGTACGAATAAGGTATTTTCTTATTTATGATATTATTTTTATTTATTTTATTTTTTAAAAGATAACACCCCTATGAAAAAAAATCTGGGTCCGCCACTGCTTCCAGCTGATTGGTGGCTGCCTTCTTCCCCGGCAATATCGTCTTCACTAACCACCTATTCACCCACTGCCCACCCATCTTTGACCTTAATTTCTTCAAAACCCAATAATACAAGCTACTACTGCACGGTGGTCAATCTGTTTTGGACAGAAAATAACTCCTCTCATTTTGCAAGATCTTATTATATAGAACAGCATGCCAAGCACTTAATGAATTAAGGTTGCTTAAATCCCTTTAAGGAGATGTTGAGAATCATAATATGTAATATGTGGTAAGCAAGCCCTATTCTTAAACCATTACAAGTTTAGTCGCTTGCTCCTACGAATAGAGGGAAATATTGAAATAATGCACTCGCTACTTGTGGGTGCTCCTAAATATTAACTTCATAAGCTTGCCTAAAGGATGTTAGTTAGTTTACTTTCTATATTTAGAAGAATTTTTTTTTTTTTTGTAAGAATATTTAGGAGAAGTTAGTGGTCCAAGATAGGGTGCATAACCGATGGTTATGCACCCGTCAGTAACCCAACAGGAGCCGTCCATCTGGAGCGGGGAGATCTAACGGCTGGGGTCGGAGCGGGGTGGGCAGGGGTATTTTTGTCCATTATTTGAATTTATGTCCTTCGCTCTTTATTCCTTTTTTGTTTATCCTTGGCCGAGCTGGAATTGGATTCATGAGAGAGAATGAGAAGTAAACAGAGCAATCAAGAGTTTTTCTCCGAAGGATCTGTCGATGGCGAGAAGGTTGGTGGAGGACGCGATTCTTAGCTTAATCGGCGGCGGACTTGCGAGTTATAGTTGTTAGAAGGTCTGTGGAGGACGCGATTCTTAGCTTAATCTTCTCTTTTCTTCTTCTTGCTCGAGGTTTTGGCTCGATTTGCTTGTGTTGAAGTTTCTGCTGGCCTTTGTTTGGTCTCCGTCGAGGTAATTTATAGTGATAGTAGGATTTCACGTTTTCGCATTGATTCCGTTCTGTAATTTGTTTTTTATTTTGTGTATATATGATTATACCATGCAATACCATGTTATACCATATATCTGCGTTTTCTCTTTTGTGCTCTCTGTTTTCTGTTCTTTGTGATCAATGATCTCATTATGTTTGTATAAGTTTGTTCAGTTGATTGATCCGTAGTTGAATTTATGTTTTGTGCAGGAATTTTTTGAATCTTCTCTGTTGACTGAGCTTTTTTAGTGCAATGAGTGATCTCAATCAAGGCGTCATTGTTTCTTTGAATGAATCTAATACTGGATCTAGTTCTTCTAATAGTGTTGTTGAATCGGAAGGTAAGAATTTTAAATGTGTTTGGTAAGTTGAAGTTTGTATATATGTTATACCATACAGTACCATACTGGTATTTTATAGTATTTTTGCATATGAGTGTTGTGTTTTATTTTTTGTAGATTGTTTTTATAGTTGTTGTGATTTTATGTTTCTGTATATATGTTTATACCATGCAATACCATGTTATACCATATATTACCATGTTATACCATAAAGTACCATACTGGTATTCTATGGTATCTTTGCATATGAGTGTTGTGTTTTATTTGTTGTAGATTGTTTTTATAGTTGTTGTGATTTTATGTTTATGTATATATGTTATACCATACAATACCATGTTATACCATAAGAAACTATACTGGTATTTGTAGAGTTTTGAATGTAATAAACTTTACCATATTATACTATGGTGGTATTATATTTTGTACAGAATTAATGTTTCATTCTTTTTATGTTTTAGGTTTTGATGCTATTGATCCTAATGTTCGAAGTTCCTAGAACAATCTTGAGTTCGCTACAACTGATGATGCATATAGATTTTATGTGGATTATGGGAATTATAAAGGTTTTTGTGTGAGGATTTACCATCAGTCGGCATGTCCGAAGCTTAATAATGGTTCAAAGGCGGTTTATTATATCAAGTATTGTTGCAATAAGGAAGGCTGGAGGATTGGTAGTGAGAATAATCCTGCTAATCGTGGTTCTATTGATGTGAAGGCTCGTGTTCGTCGTGTTCCAGAAATCAGGGGTGGATGTGATGGTGCCTATATTCGAATTAGGTGGTTTAAGCAGTTCAAGTGTTACAAGATTTATAAGTGGTATGATGTGCATAACCATGACATGATTCCTGAGGCTATGCGTCACTACATGAGATCGAATAGAAAAATGGCTCCTGTGTATAAAGTGTTGGCAGATGTGAATGATGTTGCTGGTATAGGTGCGACTGCTTCGTATAATGCAATTAGTACAGCTGGTGGTGGTCGGAAGTGTATTGGTTTCACAAGAAATGATTTGAAGAACCACCTGCGGACAGTGAGGACGTCATCAATGGAGCATGGTGATGCAACTGCATTGCTAAAACACTTTAGACGACAAGCTAAGCTGGATCCTGGTTTTTTTCATGAGGTAGAGGTTGATGTGGACGAGAATATTGCTAGTATTTTTTGGGCAGATGGGAAGATAAGGATGGATTATCATTTTTTCGGGGATTCAGTTAGTTTTGATACTACATACAGAACGAATAAAGAGTATCGATCACTAGGTATGTGTTCTTATATTTGTGATTATTCTGTATTATAGTTATTTTGATTTGGTATTATGTTGTTATCTGTTAATACTATGGTGGTATTTTGTGGTATTCATTATGTTGTTATCTGTTAATACTATGATGGTATTTTGTGGTATTTATTTTTTTAACACTGTGTACCACATGGTATGTGCAGCTCTGTTTGTTGGTTTCAACAATCATCATCAACTCACTGTGTTTGGAGCTGCCCTTCTATATGATGAAACAACGGCAACGTTTGAGTGGTTGTTTAATCAGTTTTTGGAATGCATGGGAGGTGTGAGCCCGTCGTCTATTTTTACTGATCAGGCTGCTGCAATTACTGCTGGTATAAGGTCTGTTTTCCCAAGTACTTTCCATGGATTGTGTTCATGGCATATCTCACAGAATGCAGTTGTTAATTTGGGATCTTTGTGTGATTCGGCTTTCCTTTGTGAGCTTAGCTATTTGATGTACAATGTTGATGATGAGGATGATTTTAAGTATAATTGGAAAAGAATGATAGATAAGTGTTTCCCTGGGAAAGGACCTCTTGGACACAGTTGGTTACAAGGTATTTACAAGGTGAGGGAGAAGTGGTCATCGGCTTGGGTGAATTCTTATTTTGGTGCTGGTATGAAGAGCACCCAGTTAAGCGAGTGTTGCAACAGTAATCTTCGTCATTACTTGCAGTCAGAATTTAGTATTCCTAGGTTCTTTGTACATTTTGATAGGATGCTTGATAATAAGAGAGATGCTGAAGAAGAAGAAGAAGAAGAGGAGTACAGAGCACTTTCTACGTTTGCTGATTGTCGCTTTTCATGCAGTGTTATTGTCAAGCAAGTTGCTGATCTATACACCCCAAAAATATTCCAGCTTTTTCTCAGGCAGTACAAAGAATCTCTTTCATACAATGTTTTCCCTAATACAGAGTTAGCTCAAGAAGGGAATGTAAAGATCTTTGATGTCTTTACATTGTTAACAGACTTTTCAAGGTTTGACAGCAGACTGCTCATAGTTGATTTTGATAATGGTGAAATTAAGTGTACTTGTCGCAAGTGGGAGTCAAGTGGTTTGTTGTGTAAGCATCAATTGAGGGGATATGATTTGTTGTGGTCTACAACTTGCAATGTGAAGTTCCATCACATCCCTTCTAGTTTGATTTTGAAGCGATGGACAAGGACAGCAAAAACTTGTGGGAATTTTGGATTTGCAGTTTCGTCTACTGAGGCTCCGTCAAAGTATCGGTCTCGTCTGTTCAATATTTCAGTTGTTTCTGCTTCGCTTATCAGTAGGGTTTGTTTGAATGATGATTTGTATAAAACAACCATGGATTTCATGAGTGATTTGATCAAGAAGTGTGAAGCTTTACCGACTGTTGAAACAACTGGTACGGGTGGATCGACCAACTGTGAGAGTAAGTTCCCTGGCCCCCTTTTGTTTGTGTATATGATTTTGTTATTTTTTTGTCTGCCAAGTTGTTTTACCATGTTGTACCATGTGGTATAGGGTGGCTTTCGGTTTGTTACTTGTGATGTTTTGTAATACTATATTGTATAATGTGGTATATGTTTCATTTGTGATAAGTTTATTGCTCCTTTCTTTCTTTTGTTGCACCATTTCTTTGGTGTATATAATTTTGTGTTTTTTTTTGTTTGCGAAGTTGTTTTATCATGTTGTACCATGTGGTATAGTGTGGTTTTCTTTATTGTTTCTGGTAATGTGTTGGAATACCATATGGTATTATGTGGTATTGATTGTAGTATGTATTTCTTATTTGTAGGTGATGTTCCAGTTCGAAATGTGAAGGGGTTTAAGTCTAAGAAGGATTCATTTAAGCCTTCGAAACGACCTATTACAGAAGCTGAGATTGGAAGGGCGGCTAGTAAGAAGACGAAAAAGACTAGCAGATTGGAAGAGGAGAAATTGAAGGTTGTGGAAGAAAGTTTGAAGTTGAAGTTGTGATAGTTGTTTGAAGGCTGTGGAGTTTTATTAGCTGTTTTGATGTTGATTTTTACGTGTTTCTTGCATTTTTGTTTTTTTGTTTTTGTTTGAAGTAGTATTGATCTACACATGTGAAGGACTTAATGTTTCGTGGATGATTTTAACCTTTGATATAATGTTTTACTATGGTTTTGTCATGGTGGTGTTTTTTTTTATTTTTACTTTTACCTTATTAGTAATGTTATATGGCGTGGTGTGGTGTTTTTAAAAATGTTTATACCATGTTATACCATATGGTATACTATGGTAAAAACATTATTGATGACTGTAATGTTAGATATGTGTTGTGTTCAGTTTAGCATAAAATACCATGTGGCTTTGTTCTGGTGTATTTAAAAATCCTTATACCATATTATACCATATGGTATACTATGGTAAAAATCTTTATACCATGTTATACCATATGGTATACTATGGTATAAACATTCTTGATGACTGTAATCTTAGATATGTGATCTCTGCTGTGTTCAGTTACAATAAAATACCATGTATGTTGTTGTGGTGCATTTAAAAATGTTTATACCATAGTATACCATATGGTATACTATGGTATGAACATTTTGATGACTGTAATCTTAGATCTGTGACATTAATAAGGGGTAACATAAAGTACTAGACTGTTACATAACCATAATAAGAAGTGTTTCAAATGTAAGTTATAACACACCCATAAGAAAAACACTGAATACCTTGTTTGTTCTAAAAAGCACACACATAATAAAAAAAAAGCTAGCAAATTGGTTGTCTTCAAAAGCATTGTTTTCAGAAGCTGATGTCTATAGTAGATATTAGATCCATACTGATGTTGTCTCCTTCCCTTACTTGCTTTGACTCTTCATAGCGCATTACTTTGTGGCATCTTTCATAATCCGATCACGCTCAAGGTTGTCTTTATTAAGGATGATATCCGGCATGATACACTCCCTGTCTTATTTGATCAGATCCATTCTTTTCTAGTCTGATTGCATAAAAGTCTTGTACTTTCCTTCCCAATGGCGCATCCATCTGATTATGTACAATCCACATGAGCGTTTATCTGGCTGTGTAATCTTCCCCAGATTGAACCAGTCAAACTTCTCCCAGGGGATTTTTCTGTTCCCACAGTACACACTCATGTAGTTGATTGCATACTTGACAACTCTTTCTGCAACTGGTTTGTAAGTCGTGTCAAAGTCTTTGTAGCGGAGACTTTCAAGCACATCAAATCTTGTGTTCTTGATGTTGACACAGATCATGATGTAGTGTTCACCATCACAGTAAGGGAAGAACCACTGCATATGAATGAAGTGAGAATGTTAATGGACAATTATAAATATGTTTTGAGGAATAGTTTTTTGATGTCATACCATATGGTATTTTATGGTTTTTGTAGTGTTACTTACAAGGTCACAGTTCTGGAAGCTGAGGTCTTTTGCCCATTCTTTGTCAGAAATATATTCGTCCACTTTGTCGAAGTATTGGTCTGCACTTAGTGGAGGATTGTTGTTTTCTATGTTCAGCTTGCAGTCAGACTGTAAATTTGAAATTATGTTAAAGCAATCATATATTCAGGTATGGTAAGTATAATACATTAAAATATGGACAAACTTACTGTCAAATGACTAGAGAAGAACCACTTGGAGATTTTTCCTGTTTTTGCTTGATCTCTGTTCATCAAATCTCCATACCAGTCCACGACATCATTTGTTATCAGTTGATCTATGTCAACAGATTGCAATGATGACCTTTTGAGTAAGCCTGTTCCATCCTCTCTTCTGAACATTACCTCGTCCCTGTTTAGAACAGTATACCACATTATACCATGTGGTGTTAGTCAACATTATACCACATTATACTATGTGGTATTGTTCAACATTATACCATACCATACCATATACCTTACCATATACCATACCATACTATACCATATACCATACCATACTATATCATACCATAGCATACCATACCATACTATAGTATATGTCATTAAGAAATTAATTGATATTAAGAAATTTACTTACTCAGAGACAATTTTGTTGTCTTTGCACCTTATGTACTCAAGGATGTCATTGAAAACTTCATCAGAAGTTGTCTGAGGTGGTGTAACCATCATTGCAATTGGGATTGCATCTAGGGCACCATCTCTTGCTTGAACTGGTTCATTTGCTGCTGATGAGTTCATTCCTGGCATTGGTTGTGAAACTGGTGCATTCAGGTCATCAATGTAAGCAGCCAAGCATGCATTTATCTCCAACAGCCTCTCCTGGCTGTTCGAGTACAAACTTGACCATTCAATGAATTGTTTATTCTCCAACTGTTTGCTTGTTTTTTCTTGTGGAGGGGTTGATGTTTTTGCTTTCTTCTCTGGTCCATGCACATTCTTCACCACTATCCTTCTTTTGCGCGGTTCTTCTGGTTGTTCTGATGCTGTTGCTGTGGTGATGTTGACATTTGCTGTTTGTGATGGGGGGTTGAATGGGCTGAGGTCAAAAGATGGTATGTCACTGTCTTGTGCATCTGTGGGTTTTCCTGCAGTCTTTGGTGGTGGTTGTATTGCTTCTTCATCATTGTTCTTCTCCTTTTCTCCCTCCTTTGAAACAAGCACATCTGACTGTGTCTTTTCACCGTCATCTGCTTCCTGATCTTGATGCATTTCACTTGCCTTTTCTTCATCTCCTTTTTTGTTGGCCTCCTGGTTTACATTCTCTGGATCTGAATTTCCTTGGTTCTTCTCAGCAGTTTCAGGAGGATTCTTCTCAACAGTTTCAGCAGGATTCTCTGTTTGATGTTGAGCTTCTGGTTTTGTTGGAGAACCATCTTGATTCTTCCTTTTCTTCCATTGTGTTGGTCCAGCTAGATCCACTATTGTTTGTTGAGAATCATCATTTTCTTCAGATTCAGTGACTGTGGTTGCTTTCCTTTTCTCTGTTTTTAGCTTGTCAAAAAAATTCTTCAGAGTGTCTTCCGGGTTTGCATCTGCTTCTTTATCTTCATCATCAGAGTCAGTTCCTTCAGTTTGTTTGATAATCACGTCATCAGATCTTTCTCCTTCCACACCATCAAAGTTTTGATCAGATCTTTGCTCCAACATTTCCTTGTGTTTGACAAGCTCATCAATTTGAGCTTTGTATTGCACCTTGATTGATTGCAACATAGCTTTCATTGATGTTTTCACCAGCTTCAGTGCTCTCTCAGCCTGCATTAGTCATTTTTGGTCTGTAAGTTAATATTTACAGTAGAATACCACATATTACCATGGTGGTAATGGATGGTATGTGCATTATACAGTATAATACCATATATTACCACCATGGTTCATGTGTGGTATTTAGTTGTATGAATTGCACAATTTGTAACATATGGTAATTTATACTTACTTGGGGGATAGTCTTGATCATCTTCAAATCAAATATGAGTGATGCTGATGGTTGTTGGTCTGTGTTGTCATCATCATCATCATCACTGTTGATGTCAACGATCTCCTCTTCTTTATCCTGTATCTTCATGAGCTTATGAAGTTCTTCTCCACCATAGTAGCTCACTATGTTTTCATAGTTTCTTTGCGCAGCAGTGTCATCATAGTAGTTTGTTGTTGGGATTTGCAACTGGGTGGAGAAGGTCATTTCATCCAACTTGTACATGAAGCATACCTTTTATTTGTTTGTGGGAAGGAGAAACAGTTGTATTAGTATTGATGTACTAGGATTTGTAAAGCTTTTAGGGTATACTAATTGAAATGAAATTATTGAGGGTATAGATACTTACTGTTAAGAAATGAAGATCTGCATTGACGTACAGGGTTTTTGAATTCAACCCGTCATTCATGTAGTCGAAGAAGAACTTGCACCAATTGTATTCTTTGAAATGCTTGATTTTGTCTGGCTGCAAGTACTCCAGCACATTCAACTCAGCAGTAGGGTTTGAATATGGGCACAATAGAGCTCCCGTAACCAGAATCCAGAACAGCTTGATCCATATTTCAATGGTATGAGCATTAGAAATGTCATGCTCTACATTAGCTAATTTCACCCTTCCATTTGTAGCTGGAGCTTCTAGTTCTAGTAGGACCTGCAACGCATAGTCTATTGCTTCTTCCACTGATAATTTCTTGAGCGTCACTTCCTTTTTACCCATTGGTAGACCATAAACTCTATGAAAGTCAATTGGTGATATCTTCATGTAGTTTCCACCAGGCAGCTTGAATGCTTTCTTTATTGGATTGTACTTGTTCATTGTGAATAGAGCAAAGTTCTTGTTTATCTTTATTTGCTGGATGGATGTTAAGCCATCAAGGCCTAATTCCTGCAATTTTGCCCTCTGTTCAGGTGTTAATGTTCTTGAAAGTGTGTTGATTCTTGTTGGGCTGCACCTTGTGCGAAAATCCTCCATATGTCTCGACATGATGTACCTGCATCCAGAATAGAAGAATTGCTATAGCATACCATACCATACCATACCATACCATATTCTACCAGTAAGCAAAAACACCAACTACCATACCATACCATATTCTACCAGTAAGCAAAAACATCAACTACTATACTATACCATACCATACCATACTAGGGGTGGGAATCGGTCGGTAAACAGTAAACCGTTTACCGAATTTACCGGTTTCGGTATACCGACGGTGGGCAAACTGTTTACCGTTTACCGATACCGGTTTGTAACCGGTTTACCGATTACCGATTTACCGGTAAACGGTTACAAACCGGTTTACCGAATTACCGCAAAGGAAGGATTGAGGCGGTTTTTCGGTTCGGTTTACCGACCATTTACCGAACCGAAATTCTGTTAATTGGGGAATATGTTGTAATATTTTTATTTTTCTGAGTTTTTTTCTTCATTTTTGTAATTAATAAATTATAACATTTTTTAGACCTATACTTATGTATCATTTGTAACATTTGTAACTCTTATTTAAAATATTTTTGTTCATGATGTATGTAATATTTGTGAATAATGAAGTA